CCAGCGCGCCGCCGATCGGCCCCGCAGACGCGGGCAGCGCCATGGCGGCCGCCAAGTCCGGCGAGCTGATGGGCATCTGCTCCAGCTACCAGGCGGTGATGCCGCACTTCGTGTGCCTGGCGGACGAGTTCCCGCAGCCGGTGCGGCCCGCCAAGCTGTGCAAGGGCAAGGGCCGACTGCGGCGGCCGCGCCAGTCCCGCTTCAAGACGCAGCCGGTGACCTTCGACGAGATCCAGGAGGTGGAGGAGGAGGGAGTGTCCCCCATGGAGGAAGAGAAGGCCAAGAAGTCGTTCCTGCAGAGCCTGGAGTGCCTGCGCCGCAGCACGCAGAGCCTGTCGCTGCAGAGGGACCACCTTGGCAGCTGCAAGCTGAGGAACAGCCTGGACTCCAGCGACTCCGACTCGGCCCTGTGAGGGGCGCTGCCCGGAGCGGGACCGCGCGCCTCTGCCGCGGCTCCGGGGACCAGCTGGCCACCCAGAATGGGGCCCGCGTCCCGCTCTCCAGGGACCCGGGAACCGCGGCCCTCTGCGCGCTTGGACGCCGGCGAGGCTGCGAACTGGTCGGTGCGTCCAGCGCTGCGCTCACTCTGGCCGGGAGCGCGCGCCGGGGCGCAGGGGAGGGGGCAGCTTTCTGTATCCTTGTAAATGTTTATTTTTTAACTCTTCCCAGTACGAACTCTGCTATGAGTGTGTACGCGGAGGCGCTCGCGCCCCAGTCGGCCCCTTGTCCGATGGTTTGCAACTCCGACTTTGCACAGCGCTCCACCGTGCCCTCAGCGCACACCGGTCCACACTCACGCAAACACTCTCGCTGAACACTTTCATAATTGTTAGCGCGGCCGATGGGACATGGGACGCAGCGCATCTGCTGCTGCTGCCGGAGGACTGATATTTATTTTTGCATTGCGATGGCTGATGGCGTTTATTTAACGATCTTTTTACCTGGATATGTTTGTGAGGCTCCCGAAAGGAGAAATAAAGCCAATATATTTGCACAGTGCATCTTCCCAGGCTCTTGACTTCTTGAACTTTTGGGGCCCAGGCTCCCAAGGCTGGGGGAGGTGGGGGAAGACGTGGCGAAGATGGAAGCCAGGGACTCCTGAGTGGAGGCAACTTCACAAACTTAAGTCACCTGGATGAGGTCGTGTCCCTGGCGCGGGTCCGTTACTCCCATCCCTCCCCAAGTAGATCCGCACCTGGCCCAGAGCACGGCAGCCCGCCTGGTCTGTTTGCATCGCTGCTGTCTGGGATGGAGCGGAACCGCTGGGGCGCTGTGTGGATGGAGAGCACCCTCCCCAGGACCGTTGACCTAACAGGCGAGTCAGGGTCATCGCCCTGCACCCCACAGAAAACCCCAGACTCCGCGCCCAGCCCTGGCGGCCGGTGTGGAGCCAGCAGTGGGAAGCCCAGGAAGGGATATTTGGGCGGCAGGTCTCGAGGGAGGGGAGGGCGCGTGTTGTGGGTGCGCGCTCACTGTCGCGTGCGGCTGACTCCCCTCGCTCTCCGCCCTGACTCAGCGCAGAGCCAGCGCTCCTGCGCGGCGGAAGCCAAGCTGCAAACTCTTTGGCTTTTTGATCCCTGCCTCCAGCCCTTCTCTGCCCTACTTCAGTGATCTACAAGGAGCTGGTGCATGTCTTTGGTCAGGGCCCAGAGGATGCTTGGGTACCAACGAGCCCTCACCTCCCTGCCTTGCTTACAGATGAGGAAACGCGCCCAGACAAAGGAAGGTCCCGTGGTGCGTACTGGCCGCTCAGCCAGTTCTCCAGACCTCAGTGTCCAGTGCTCCTCCCACCGCATGAAGTCTGTTCTAATGCTCTCAAGCAACTGCGACGCAGTCCCGTTGTACCCCAATTCCTCTTGAGTTAACGTTGAAGCAGTGTCATCTGACAGCAGGTAGCAGTCAGGGTAATAAGCAACATTCGGTTGAGGAGAGTGGATTTGGGCCCTTCCAAGCCCACATCGCCAGGATTATTCCAGAGCTGGCGGACCGACCGTGGCCAGACTTCTGGTTGAGCATAGCTCAGGGAGACTTGGGGGAGGGCGCGGGTTCTTCACTGACGCCTCCCTCTCTAGGTTGCTGTGTCTCTGTGCTCCGGTGCCCTCTGGTGGTAGGGCCTGATGTGTGTGTGGGGGGTCTGCGATGTTCCCTCCAGAAAATACCCAACCTGGTTGCGCAGTGGTTAAGCATTCAGCCAACCTACCAGAAGCTCTGCAGGAGAAAGATGTGGCGATCTGCTACCATAAAGATTTACAGCCTTGGAAACCCTTTGGAGCACTTTTACCCTGTCCTAGGGTCCGCTGGCAGTCAGAATCAACTCCACAGTGAGGAGTTTGGTTTTTTGGGTTTGGGCTCAACTTCTCTGGGAATCTGAACTGTTTTTCTCTCCTTTCATCTGTCTCTTGCAACCCTGGGCTCTACACACACACACACACACACACACACAGACATGCACACAGAGACACTGGAAATAAAACAAAGAAACATAAATAGAAGCACAGGCCCTGAGAGGATGCCCTTCCGCCTCTCAAGGAGAAAATGGTAGGCCCATAGCCTTGGGGGCTGGGGAATTTTGGCCCAGTCCCAGTGCTTGGGATTGCACTGGCCATTGCAGTCCCCAGGGGCAGTGACATCCCCTTGGTTGGATGTGGGGCTTGTGACAGTTGGCCCTTAACTGCAAAAGCCTTACCTTGTGAAGCACCTCAAGTTGATGCTTTCATTTGAGTCTCTGTAGCTGCCATCATGAAGCTGGCAGCTCCTTGGGGTGGGAGGAAGGTGGCTGACACTCAGAATTACCCCCCTCCAGCCTCATTCTCTTCCTTCTCCAAAGAGGTTCCAGGAGGACCTCACATACTGAGCCTTTCTACATCTTGTGGTACCTGCCTCTTCGGTAGTAGCTCCTGTTTATACTCCTCAAAGCCTTGCTGCCCTAGGCCTTCCTGGGGGGCCTCCAGACACTTCAGGCCCGAGATCCCGACTTAGGCTATCTCCAGCACTTGCTAATACCATCTTTCTATTGGAGGGTCACCTGCTCCTGTCCTACCTAAGAGCTTCTCAGGTCACCCCAGCCAACTTGCTAGACAGTAAGATGAAGCACATCCAGCCACTCCAAACCCCTGCTCGGCTGCCGGCCAGTCTCAACACTGAGCAGGTGTTTCCAAAATGTTTGTTGGGCTAAACTGAGTAAAAGGCTGAGAGGGAGATCCAGGCCTGCTTTGGCCACTTCCTAGTTTGCTTTTAAATTGTTATTATAATTTTTTTCTACACAAGAAGTATCTGTTTGGTATATTAAAAACACAAATCGAGATAGATGGGTGAACAGGCTGAACTATTAGGTATGTCTATGCAGGAGGGAGTGTACCCAAGACCATGTATAGGGTTGGCAGACAATGGTTCTACAAGTGTGCTTGTATGTTCTGTAAGAACTCCAAGGGGTATGGTAGAGCTGTCAAGGGACATGGTTGTAGTCACTTCTTGGTCACAGCCAGCTACCAGAGGGACTGAGTAGTGGAACCTGTGGGCTTGGGACCATAGTCGCAGGCGACATCAAGCTCAATTGGCATAACATACTACATAAAACATTGTTCCACCTCCTACTTTGACAAGTAGTGACTGGGATCTTAAAAGCTTGCAAGCAGCCATCTAGATGCAACGATGGGTCTTTCCTCATCCAGAGCAAAGAAGAATGAAGAAAACCAAAGATTCATGGAAACAATTAGTCCTCGCAACTGGTACACCATGTGATCCTCAGCCTATACGACTATGAGACCAGAAGAACTAGACGGTGCCCGGCTACCACTGTCAACCACTTGGAGGAGGATCTATGTAGGAGATCCTGGATAGAGAGGGAGAAAAATGTGGAACAAAACTCAAAATCATTTGGAAAAAAAAGGGAGAGACCAGGTTTGCTCCTCTGATAGAGGCTGGTGGAACCACTGAGACTATGGTCCCTGGCTGCCCTTCAGGTCTAGAATTGAACCCACACCTGTGGCTTCCAGCCAAACAAAAGACAGGCTTAAGAGTTAAACATGTACCTGAGATAGATACACTCCTTGGAGAGAACAATCATGGGAGAAAGAAGGGCTGCTTATGCACAGGGAGACAGCTCAGGGGGCAGGAGTGCTTGGAGGGATGGACACTGGGAAGAGGTAACTATCAGGAGGAAGTGGGAGGGGAGCTGTTGCATTGGGGTAAACTGTCAATGTCATCAGGCAATGTATGTGTGAACTGCTGTATGGAAAGTGAATTTGCTCTGTAAACTTTCACCCAAATCACAATTAAAACAAACAAACCAACCCACAAAGTGCTAATGCTGCCACTACCCAGAGATACATTTGTTAATAATTCCGGAGTTACCCCTGATGTTGCTTTTAGCTGTGGTCCAGTAGGCTGCAACTCCTAGTGACCCCCATCTCATGGTGGCCTGTGCACAGCAGTCAGAAACGCTGCCCAGTCCTGCACCAACCCCATGATTAGTGGCAGATGGGACTGTCATGATCAATAGGATTTTCTGGGGCTAATTTTCAGAAGTGGATCACCAGGCCTTTCTCCCTAGTCTTAGTCTTGAAGCCCCACTGAAACTATTCAGCATCACAGGCACACAAGCCTCCCCTGACAGAGGAGTGGTGGCAGTGCGTGATGTGTTTGAGGTGCTGGGAATCGAACCGGGGTCTTCCTCATGGAAAGTAGGAATTCTCCCACCAAACCACTACCCTCCCAAACCAGTTGTTGAGTCAGTTCTGATTCTTTTACAAAATGAGTTTATGTCCTATATGCTATTTTTCAGCCTGCTTTATTCCTTAATTGGACTTTTCTTTAATATCAAGTTGCTGAATCTACATCACAGTTTTTATCCAATTCTAACATTTAGTTAGTTCCCATTCTTGGATATAAGCATGTCTTTCTGTTGGTCCTGTTTTCTCATTTTTGCCTGTAGCTGGCAGCTCTAGGGCTAGATGAAGAAAAAGGTTTGGAAGAGGTAGTGGCACAGGAGCTGGGGGGGGGGATGCTGTGACGTCCTAGAGAAGGGGAGTCTGCTGGCCTGGGGTGCTGTGGCCCCTGTGCTACAATGCGGGTGCTCTCTGGTCCTGAACGTTTCTGCCTTGGGTAGAAGAGGGAGGGGAGACTTGAAAGGGAGCTGGGTTCTCTGGGATAGCTGTGAAGGTAGCAGCAAGGTTGTGTGCTGGGCTGGGCTGGGCTGGGTGGCCAAGCAGTGGAAGAAGAGGAAAGAGAGATGAGGAGAGAGACAGGCAGTGAGGGAGCAAGAGAGATGCAGAGGAATGAGGTCTGTAGGAGAGACAGGGAGAAGCAGAAACAGAGAAGGTAATGGAAAAAGATGGAGAGATACAGAGAACTAGGTCAGGAGCCAGGGGCAGAGAAATCGAGAGACACAGAGAAATAAGGGCACCCTGGGGGA